TGTTTCTGTCAATGTTTTATTTTTTCCTTTTTTTAAGATCAGAAATAAAATGACTGTTCTTTAAAAATTATGACAACTTTACTGTAGTAGAGAGTCATTGAAAGTTGTGTTGGGTTTTCACAAAAAGGTTATGTAATATTTTCGGCTCTAAAGTAGTTTTATGTAACCAGACTGAGGGCAAAAATGACTCTTTGGTTTGTAAAGATTGGCGATCTAAAGTGTTTGTTTACTCAGTCTTTTTTTTTAAATAACTTTAATATGTGAGCAGCCCCAATAAGATACTTAAAATTTTGTGACTGTAGCATGGAAAAGTGCAAAAAAATAAGTTAAAAGACTATGAATACCCATTCACCATTAACCCGTACAAACCCAAAACATTTATGAAAAATACATTATGAGGATTTTTCTGTTAAAGTTTTCTTTCTTCCGTTTTTGATCGTTTTCTTAATCAACTTTCTTCACTAAAGCATTGTATTTCAGCAAAAAGTCATTTTAAAAAGCTCCTTTGTGCTCCGTTCCCAGATGCGGAGATGTTTGCAGATAGAAACGAGTCTGAACTCTTTCCTGAACTAGACTCCAACTCGGATCCGTTTAAACCGGACCCACCAGCGAAACACCAGATGAACGGTCGCAAGTCGGCCAGCCCGGAGATGTTTGACCTCTCCCGTTTGGCGCCGCCTCTCAGCGCCCCGCCCGTTCGTGTGTGCCGGACTCCGGAGGCCTTCCTCGGACCCACAGGGGCCTCGCTGGTGAATCTGGAGACTCTGATTCCCCCGAAACCCCCTACGAAGATGCAGAATAACCCCTTCCTGTCAGGTATTACGCTGATTCTCCGTTATTCACCCAGTCACTGCTGGCACGTAGAGAATTCTATGTTCACTTTTACCAAAATCTGCCCTCTCAGGTCTGAGTGCACCGTCTCCCAACAACCCCTTCCACTGCGACCAGCCGCGGCTCACCCTCAACCAGATGCGACCCTCGTCCACGTCTCCGCTGCCCCCTCACATGCTGCCCTACAGCCCGTCGCTGCCCCTCCCTCTGCTCCACCAGCCCCCCGTCCTCCCCTCCTCCCTCACACAGCCTCCCTCTGGGCTCCTGGACCTGCCCTCTAACCTCCCCCAGCCGCTGCTGCCTCTCTCTCCTCGACCGGCACCTCGCGTTCAGACGCAAACGCACAGCCACAACCCTTTCCTTTGAGGCCGCTGCGGCACACAACCCGTGGACTCTTGAGGGAACGATGTACGCCAGCTGCGGTAAACCTGTTGTAAAAGAGTGTGAACTGATTTGTGGTCTGATGTCATTAACTTTCAGTGGATGTAACAGATCCATACGGTGAATCCGTGTCTGTCTAAAGACACGTCAGCTGCTATAAAACCTAAACTCACTCTTTCATGCACTCAAGCGTGCCTCAGGATGCATAAACACAAACACAACAACAAACTGACGGACTGTATCTGAAAAGTCTGGTCTTTTTTTTTTTTTTGTGTGTGTGTCCTCTCATCAACTTTGACGCTCCAAGCCCCGCCCCCCTCTGACCGCACCGCCAGACCGCTCCGTTTCATGAAGCAACACTCTCTGATTGTCCCCCAAGCGTCACTGGGATCTTTGCTGCTGCTTCACCGACAAAAGCATGAATGCGTTTTACTCACAAGCCTGCAAGCGACGATGTTCTTCTGAGAACCGGAGATGATGTACTTTTTAATCTGATGATTTGATCAGTATGTTAAGCTTTCCGTTAGTGGAGGAGGCCCCAAACTGTGAGATATCAGAAAGCACAGAGCACAAATTGAACTCATGGACTCTCCTTCCTTTAGATTACGACATACAATGTTGTGAAAAAGTACTTGCCTTCATTATAGATCTCTTCACCTTTTGCTTTTTTGTCGTACCTAAAATGTTTTGATCACTAACATTTTAGTAACGCCTCAAGATAAACTGCAAATATAAAACACAGTATTCAAATTTGAAAAAGTAATGGCTTCCTAAACTGATTCACTGGCAGCAGTCAGGAGGAAGCAACTAGAAACTTATTGATTGCTGGTTGTGAGCCTTTTTCATTACCTGGAGGAATTTTGCCCCACTCTTCTTCGCAGAATTGTTTAATTTAGTAACAATTGGATGTCTGCTTAAAGTCGTCCTTCAGCATCTCAACACAGGGTGTCTGCACATCCTTAAAAAATCTTAAGTTGATGCATCGATCTAAAATTAAGGCCTTAAAATATCTTAAATTTGTTTTGAAAATGTAAGTTGGCCTTAAATATGTAAATTGCAGGTCTTAAATTATTGCACGTTTTTTATGTCTTTGTTTTGTTTTCAGGACTTTTTTATCAGGCGTCTCCATTGTGGTCTGTGACCCGAGACGGTTGAGGCTGCTATTAACTAGCTGCTAATATACTCTTGCTAGCTGGTTAGCTTTGCTGCTTCCATCATGGGTAAGTGGAAATTTAGCGCCATTTAATTGTTGAATTTGACGATAAATTTGAATTCATAGTTGCATTAGTCATGGACCATTGGACCACCCCAGACCATTGCACTGCCACCATGTTTGATTAGCAACCCATCAAGGTGTGATGGGATGCCACTTTATCTCATGTTGTTAGAGAGGTTCGGTTTTTTCAGTTTCTTGATAAATTCAACTCTTCAGATCTGGCATTAATCAGGCTCTGGTGTTAAACCAAAAATAAGTGATTTATCCCATTGAGATTTAACATAGGTTGCAATTATATCTTTTGGCTTGGGTAGCTTTCTTCCTTAATAAATGAGGTCTGCTCTCTATAGTTTCTTTTCTCTGTGTCTAAAAATAATGTAATGATCCTAAATATTTAGGAGTGACAAAGATGCAAAAATAGATCAGTTTTGTGAGGGTGCAAATACTTTTTCACGGCATTGTAAAATCGCCATTACCTTTAATATCCTGAACTTTCCTCAGCATCTTGTTCTAAGTTAACTCTGTCTCATGTCATTTGAAAGCAAATGGTCCCTTCTGGACCTGAGGTAAGCCAGCGTACGATTGATTTTGCTACCTAACTGTGGACCTACTTAAATCTCTGATTGTATCCGTGCCTGTTTCCACTGATTGCCCAAACTTCACTCCCTTGAAGCCGCTGTAGAGGACTTCTGGAAGAAACTGTCACTCCTGTAATGGGATTCAACCGAAGCTAATGAAATTGATGGAACTTAACTACAGAAATCAAATTACAGTCAGATCATATACCTTACTTCAGATGAAATGCCTGATGAGAAAGTAGGTAAAAGCGTAAAAGAACTGATAACAGATGTGAAGATCTTGGCACACTGGCAGTTTGACAATAAGAGGATCAGAGAAAAATCACACGATGAGACAATTTATCACTGCACTGAACCTGGACTTGAATGTGTAACGCCTGCCTATAAACACATACAGGCTTGGTACATATGTATCTACTGAAAAATATATTGCTGTATTATGAAATATTATACCAATAAACAGCTAGTGTTTGCATTTATAGTTTCAGATGTTTTCATTTATTTGTGAGTCATTCTTTCTCTTGTTACAACTGTGAAAGTGGATAACCCTTCCAAATCCGCAGCTGCAGAAAAGACTTAAAGCACCGAAAGCTCCAACACGACAAAGACGATTTTCTATGAAGAAAAATAAGAGTTTTAAAATGCCATGATTTAATCAGTGAGAAACTTTTTTTGAGCTGACTGGTACATTTGCCTTAGAGACAAATTCATAGGCCACAATTTCTGTTTTGGATTTTCACATGCACGCAAACTTCAAAGTATTTTGTTAGGATTTTTATGTGTTTGGACAACAGAGTTGGTGAAGTGGAAGGGACACTTTTTCCTGTTTTCAACACTTTTCTCAACCAAAAAAATCCGAAAAGTCTGACGCATCGTGTGTAGTAGCCCCCGTTTACTCCAATTCCCCTAAAAAACGCATTGTTTTCAATTCTTAAAAAACATAAAACATATGTTTATGATACTTAGCATTTGAGTGATAAGTATCACTGTATAATCAACCTAAAAATGAAAATTTGCAACAGCTGGATTACTCTCAACCATCTTATCATAAACGATGAAAGGAAGTTGAACTGCGACCCTGCAGGAAGGACACGCTTAGCTGCAGAAAGGGAATAGAAACTGAAAGTGTCTATGCACGGTTTTCTATGAGAAACATCATTCTAAAAGTTTCATAGACACAACCCTGTACAGTAATAGCTTTTTTTATATGTAACCAATCAGTAAAATTTAGCCCGATGATGAAGAAGCTTTGAATGCTCTTTGTCCTGCAAATTAATCAAAAATAAGGCTTAAGTTGTAAGTCCTAAATAACCACTAGATGGCAGCACATCTTTACTATGCAACTGTTTGGACACAGAGCCACGTTTTTTTAAAACCAGCTGCTTACTGATAAATAATAATCTTACTCAAAATACTCAATATGCACCTCACTGCTTGTCAAAGAGTGGCAACTTTTAATGTCTGAGGATGAGATTAACAGGGATCACACGTCAATAAGCTCTAGGTCGCAAAATATTTTTCTAAGAAATAATCATCAATTGAGCTGTGGTTAACAGTGCTGCCTTTGCAGCAAAAAAATATCCTATATATGAATTCTGGCCCTGGTTTTTCTTGCATTGAAATTAGCATTTTTCCACAGTCCCAACGCACTTGTCCTGTCAGTGTGTTGCCCTGTGATGGACTGGCAACCTGTCCAAGATGATTCATCTTGCACACTGTCAAAAAGAAACTTTTTAAAGTAGACTGAAGACAAGGAAAAAAAAAAAAGGAAATTCAGTGATGTCGACAGTAAGAGACGCACTCAACCGTTCCGTTTGATTTTGAAGGCTGCCGTTCGTGCCCAGATCCAGTCATGTGCCGTCTGATCACCGACCTAAGCAGCTGCAGCCTCCACCTCCAGATACAGTAAATCAACTGCTGCGAACATTTGATATGCAACATTTGCCATGTGGTGTTGATTTTGTGGAGGAGGGGGAGCATAAACAGGCAGTGGTGAGTTATTGTGGGAACAGTTTTTTTTTTTTTTGTAGGGGAGTAAAAACTATTTTCTATTGCAAAAGTTTCCGCAGAAGGATAAGAGACGATGTGAACCTGCAGAACAAAAAGTTCCACATCAGCAGTAACCTCAGGCTGAACTTCTACAATGGAAACATCTGAGTAATATAATCGTATAAAAGGTAATTATGTGTGACTGTCTGCAGCTATCCATCTCTATTTGTCAGAAATTAATAACTGGTTTGCTTCGTAGCACCGGTGTAGTACACACTGCAAGTCTCATGTTTCAGAAGTTAACAACTCGGTGAGTGAAATTTTGTTTGCAGCAAAGTTGACAGAAATAACGGCTTCACACTTTGGCACAAATGCAGAAAACTAAACAGCCTCTTACCGCTCTGTTAGACTTGTCCTGATCTGCCAATGCATCTGCAGAAAAGTGCCAAACATCTTCTGGTTTTAACTAATCATCATCGCCCCCTCGGAGCTGTTGTTTCTGGCCTGCGGTGGGGAGGTCATCCAATTCAAGAAGCTTTCAGACTGATAAATTAAAGCTACCGTAGGCCCGAGGAAGGCGCTGCTGCTGCTGCAATGTGGGAACGATTAGCCTGCTGGGAAAATAAACTACGGCATTTACTCAATATCTGTCCAGCTTTGGTTCTCAGCTGCAACCTGCAGCTCCACGTAAGAATAGGATTATGTGGTTATTGGTTACCACTGCTCCAGAGTGCAGCCCCTATGTAAACATTAAATATTCCTCTTCTGCAGCAGATATAAGCTTTTCATTATTGTTTTTATCCTTATGAAGGAGGAACAAAAATGTAATTAAAATCTGAAGACAAGTACAACTAACTTCTATATATTTAAAGTGTGTTTTGATATATTTGATTTTATACTGATAATATATTTTATAAATATATAACTTTGTATTTATATAAACAGATTAAAGGTTTTACACAACTCATCAAAAACTCTCATCTAAATCTTAAACCCTAATTTTAACATAATTTTACTGCTCACATTAAGAATAATAATAATTGATAAGAATCCCCACTGTTTAAATACAACTGCATTCGATGATAGCCATTTTTTAAACTTATTTATGTATCTATTAGAAATAAAACTGAATATAAAAATATATCTATGTATAAAAGACACAATTCCCAAAGTCCAATAACTCCATCCATCCTCTTGATATTAAAACATAGTCTTTATTTTAGTACATGGTTTAAAGCAGGGTTTAATGAAAGAAACTTTAAAATATCTGTAATAAAAACGGCCTCAATGCAGAAATCTTTATTCAAAGGAAAAGTTAGAACGGTAACATAAACATCACCCTTTCAGAAAACTGGCAGCGAAAAGAACCAATCCAGTGTCCGTCCGTGTTTTGTAACAGCCAATCAGCGTCCTGGATTCACTGTATGCGGAAGTTGCAACGTTTCACACTGCTCAGTTCAACTTGAAGCTTTCCGCGTTGAAAAATGTCCCAATAACTATCACTAAAACTATCAGAGCAGATTTTATTAGTGCCGTTTTCTGGTATAAATACAATTAACATTGCTAGCTGTTACAAAGTTACAGCTTAATGACAGTATTATTCACGTGTTAGCCTCATGGCTCACTCCTCGACCGTATGTAGGATGTTATTTAATGTCAGATTCGAGCAGCTAAGGTGAAGCTAGGCGACCACTGAAAGGGGCGCTGATAGTGGGGGCTTGTAGCAGCGGGGCGGGGGGTTAGGGATGGAGCCGAATCCCGCAAAGCGGCTCCGGACGGCGGAGGAAGAGGGAGGAGAAGTGAGAGAAAGCGGAGGAGGAGAGCAGACAGAGGCGGAGAGGAGGAAGACGGCGGATGTGGTGGGTGATGGACACCATTAAAATAATTGAAAAAGCATTTTTTTTTAGCCCGTTTTGTGATATTGTGTAAAACAGTTTTCTAAAAACTAACATTTACAAACACTCACTTAACACTCTATAGCAGGAGGGAAATTACAGACACCCTGTAATTTCCCTCCTATTTCATTTGCACTAAGTCAGAACTTTCTCCATTTCCTCTCTCCTGCAGAGCATCATCATGCCGGTGCACAACGCATCATGTTGGCTGGAGGAGTGTCTGCAGGCCATAGTGCACCAAGACTTCACCGGCTCCATGGAGCTCTCCGTGTTTGATGATGCAAGCACGGTATGGTGGTTTGTTCATTTGCATGTTTGTGCCTCTGAAGTTGTAATGTGAAGCCGGTGACATATTATTTATCCCTGCGCATGTTGCTCAGGATGACTCCAGGAAAGTGTTGGAGGGCTGGAGGGAGAGGATGGAGGATCGGGGAATCTCAGTGGTGATCTCAGGTCACAGTTCTTCCCAACCCAGAGGAGGTCAGCTTAACTACCCATCGATTGTGTGTTTGAGCTAGAGCATAGACTCACTGTTTTACAGGATAAATGGCTTAGAGCTGCCTTCAGGTTCAGTTTTGAATTTTCACTACCATACCAGCTGGTTGGCATCTCATCTAGGTCTGTTACCATAGTAACTGATGCTGGAAACCTAACCTGTTCTTCTCTGAAGCGGGCTAGGGTTTCTGGCGTTTAGCGATATCTTGGTACACTTTAAATGAGACAAAATTAACTAAAAAGTGACTTTTCAGCAAGAAATAGGAGCTTGTTTTAAGGCAATAACTCCTTAATCTTGAATAAAAAGTTCTAGTTCCATTGGCAGATTATTTAATTTATAACAAGACATTTTTCCCATGTTATAAGTAAAATAATCTGTGACTATAATAAATAATTTTTCATCAATACTAAGGAATTATTGACTTAAAACAAGCTCCTGTTCCTTGCTGAGATGTTATCTTTAAGTTAGTTTTGTCTTATTTCAGGTGTACTAGGATCTTTCCATTAGAGAAAAAAATACATGGTAAGATTTTGTGTTTTTGCAGTGAAGCACTTTTTCAACCAATCAGTGCTCTGAGAAATATATCTGAATCACTCCAGAACTGTTGACATTATTTTCATTAACGTCACTAAAATGAGAAGATCACTTTTTATTTAAATTTGTGAATGAATAATTTTGCTTTGTATTCTATTGACCATTTTTTTCTTTCTTTCTTTCTTTTTTTTTTTTTTTTGCAATTTAAGTTTCTTTTTTTTTTTTTTTTTTTTAAAAAAAAAAAATTTTTTTTTTTTTTTTCTTT